CCGCTAACAAGAGTTTTATTAAAGGTAAAGGGACAGAGAGTGAACAGGCCTGCGGGAAACACGTGTGTGGAGAAGAAGGAAGAAGAAGAAGAAGGAACCGGGAACATGGCGCCAGATTTTAAAGGCTGGGCGTGGACAGATCAGCGTCACTACTACACGCAAGCGCGTAGATCACATGGCCACGTTGCGCACCTACGTAGCCAATGGAACGTCACGGATCTTGGTCACGCGAGATGCCCTGACCCGGAAATGGCTATCCTGACCTGGAACTGGCTAGGTGGAAGTGTCCGTCGGGCATATGCGAACACGCCCGACTGTGGGGGCGTGTTGTAAACCTTTCACCTGTGTTATTTTTTCATGATGTTTTTATTAAGTGTTATATTATGGAGATGATACTGACCTAATAAAATAGTTGGGGAGGCCTTGTGCAGGCTTCCACAGCTGCTGTGAGTTCATGATTGCAATAGTCCTGTCATACCCAGAAAATATCTGCACAAGGCCTGTACAAGATCAAGCCCCAGTCAGCCTTCTGATATGGAAGGAGGAGGGGATTCTAAGTCCTCCACCTCTAGCTGAGGAGTTAATGGCAATTGGTGGCTGTTGGAGGAAAGTCATTTTTCTTTAAGGATATAGTCCCTTGGCAGGTCAAACCATGCTCTGGTGGATGGCCCCACACCCATGAATATATGGGGAACACAAATTGAACTGAGTGGGTTATAAAAATAAAGGGCATGGAATTAGGAGGGAGGTGGGGATGGATCCGGGAGAAATTCACAAGGGGAGTGGAGGCTGAATATAATAAAATACATTGGAAATATATTAAAAATTTCAAATTAATAAAAGTATTATGCTAAAAATAAATTTTATATTTTAGTTGGGGAATATTCTACCCTTTTATTTTTCAGAAGATATTATATGAAATTAGTGTTGATTCTTTTTAAATTTATTTTTATTATTTTTAATTATGTGAGGTAGAGAGAAGGAGTATAGGTATGTGCACATACATCCTGGTGCCTGTGGAGGCCATAGATACTGGATTTTTCATAGCTGGGGATATGAGCTGGTAGATAGATGCTAGTAACCAAACTCAGGTTCTATGCAAGAGAAGTTACATGCTCTTAACTGCTGAGCCATCTCTTCAACCTCAATTTTTAGTTAAATGATATAATTCTCCAGTGAAATACTCTAAATCTGGTTTTTTGGTATTTTACCTATAAATTTAATCTTTCATAGTTACCTTTCATAGTTCATATTTGGGTGACTTTTAGTACTTGAGTGCTTTAAGGGATTAGTTTGTTTTATCTAAGTTGTCAAATTTATATGTATGCATATATTCATATGTTCTTTGTGTTGATGTCATATTTAAAATCGACAGTCTTGGCTAGGTTTTCACTTCCACAAAGATTGAGTAGATGAACTTCTCTCTATGACTTCACTTCCCATTAAGTACAACTAAAAGTCCTGAGCAGTTTGTAAAACACTAAACCTCAGTCTTTAAAAGATCAAAAGAAGGTGGAACAACACAGCTATGTGTTCCCTAAATTTTCTTTTTGCTTCCAGACTTGATACTGGAAAAGGTAGCAACCAAGAAACAACCATCCAGCAATGATTTAAAAAAACATAAGAAAAGCCTACTCTTTCTACTGACTGGGAAAGGGACAGCCTATCAAGACAGAAATCTTTCCGATAATGTTCATCCCCAGCCAAACACCATGAAAAAATACTTGGGACTGTCACTCTGCCCTCTCCTCTAGCACAGATGCAGTAAGACGCCTAGACTTTATCTTAACCCTACAGTGATGATTCAGCCTATCTAGGGTTGTGACAGGAAACTTAATGGAGAAACAATATTTTCATTTCTATGTGGATTCCTCCTTCCCTAGTGATATCAGTCAAGGCCATTCAGTCATTTTTACTAATCTCAATGAGGGAGGTATCATTGAAGGCCTATTGGGAGCCAAAACTTCCAGACACACCCCATTAGTAACAGAAAATCCCTGTCATACAGGACAAGTGGTAAACTATGACTTCTTGGCAATAACAAGACAGTGTCTTCCACCCCAACTCTGATGACCAACCATGACCAACCGTAGTAGTTTGGTAGGAATCCAGCTAAAGGTTTAAATTAGGTCCCAGGTTTTTAACACCCCAGATATCTAGTTTTCAATAAGAAATGACTTATCAAGAATACTCAAAGGGGGCTGGAGGAGTAGTTCTGTGGTAGAGTGATTGCCTAGGCTCTGGATTCAGTCCTCTCAGTACACACACACACACACACACACACACACACACACACACATACACACACACACACACACACACACACACACACACACACACACGGAATGCTTCAACAGTAAATATTATAAGAGATAAGGGTTTTTTTGAGACCAACATTCTTGGGATCATCTTTTACAGTTTATTGTCCTATGACCCATATTCAGTTTCCATATGCAGGAGATCCTGTTGACTCTACTTTCAAAATACATGCAGAGTTCATGTACTAAGTTGGAAAGAAAATGTCCCTTAATGATGCATGGGTACAGAGGCCTGCCTTTTAACTTCACTGGGCATCTGGGCCTCTTGCACCTCCATTTTTGGCTACAGAACTCTACCACTCTTGATTTTTTTATTATGAAAATTGAGTAGCATGTACAATATAGAGAGCATTTTCATACATGTTTATGTTATTTGAAGTTTAAAGCTGTCCTTATTGTTTGTTTCCATTATAAGTTTCAGTGCTAATAGTAAATTGCCCCAAACTTAGCAGCTCAGAACAACTAGACTTGAACTTTGAAGGGTGCACAGTAGCTGGGGGTCAGGTTTAGAAACCTATAAAGGCGTTTTCCTTAAACTGGCATGACATGAGAATTACATGTGGCTTGACTCTCTCATAGTCTGACAATCTCAGCACAGTCATATTCCTTATAGGCTCCAGGCACAAGATTCTGAAGTGCATCTGTTCCTTCCTGAGAGCCAGGTGAAGGCTGCATTCCTTTTTATGACCCAGCCTTACAGTGTTCATAGTATTACTTCTGCTAGTCACAACTGTTATAAGCCACCCCTTATTCAAAGGGGGGAGAATAAATCTTCAGTACGTGAAGAATATCAGGGTCACATTGTAAAAGAATATGTGGGATTTGGAAAATGCCATTATGTCATAGAAATGGTAACTGTCTCACACACTAAGTCACAAAGACTTTGGAAGAAGAGGTCATCACAAACAAGATTAACAAGGGGCATTTTGGGGGACACTATACCTAAACATATATTTATGAAGTCAGGGATTGTGGTTCACTTCTATAAATACAGCACTTGGGAAGAAAAAATAGAAGGATTAGCATGAGTTTAAAGACAGCTTGGATTTTGTGGTGATTTTACAGAGTTGAGACCATATCTTTTTTTTAAAAAAAAAAAAAGAATTTTTGAGACTATTATCTAGTTAATTTTAAGATACTCATTTCAAATCTTTAAAAATTCTATAATGTGATATTTATATAGTTTCTGTACTGCTCAAAAATAATTCTAGGCACTCATTAGGAAACAGTGTAGTCTCTATCTGTCAAATCTTAGATCATTTGAAAAGTCCCTGAGAGGTCACTGTCAATAAGACACTATATTAAGCTTTAGGTCAAACAACAATAGTAGTAGTTTCATTTTCAATGGACTCCTCAGTGGCATAGCAGTGTCCACTTTGGCCAGAGTTAATAGTATTCCAGCCATTCTGACCTACAGGTGAAGAACAGGTGAATAAATCTTTCTATATAAAGATGTGGATGCGGGTCCTTTACCAAAAGCCAGTCATCTAGAAAGTTACTACAACATTCAGTTATACTAAAGGATCTAAATTGAAAGCTATGCTTATCTTGTCCTGACAAAATTACTTAAACCTTTGAGTTTGTGAACATTTGCTGATTTGGTCAGTGATCTGATGCCATTCACAGTGTCTCTATACCTAGTCCATAGTGGCTGGCAAAGAAAATCATAGTATCCTAGGATTTTCTTTAAAGCAGTGGTTCTCAGCCTGTGGGTCTCAACTCCTTTGGGAGGTTGCATATCAGATATCCTGCATATCAGATATTTACATTGCAATTCATAACAGTAGCAAAGTACATTTAGGAAATAGCAACAAAATAAATTTATGGATAGGAGGTCACTACAACATGGGGAACTGTATTAAAGGGCCGCAGCACTAGGAAAGTTGAGAACCACTTCTCTAAAGCTGTAGAAGTCAGTCTCTCTCTGTCTCTCTGTCTCTCTCTGTCTCTCTCTCTGTCTCTCTCTGTCTCTCTCTCTGTCTCTCTCTCTCTCTCTCTCTCTCTAACCAGAGGTTTGTGCGTGCATGCTTGTGTGCGTGTGTGTGTGTGTGTGTGTGTGTGTGTGTGTGTGTGTGTGTGTGTGTGTGTAAATGATGATTTAAGCTGTTTTCTAAAAAGGCCTTGGCTGGGGATAATAACGTACCTGTAATCCCAGCACTTGGGAAGCTGAAGAAGTGAACATAGCAAGAACCTGTCTCAAAAAAAAAAAAATCTTCCAGTCATGGTAATACATGCCTTTAATCCCAGTACTCAGAAGGCAGAGGTAGGTGGATCTCTGTGAGTTGGAGACTAGCTGAATCTATATGGTGAATTTCAAGATAGCCAAGGCTACATAGTGAAACCCTATTTCAAAAAGCCAAAAATAAAATAAAATCCCAAAATAACATTTTCACAGATCTTCTCCTCTATCATAAATTCAATAACTTCTCTTGTAAATTTACATTAATTTGACCTTTTATCCGTGTATTTTCTTGCATTTGGTATTATTGTTTTAGTCCTTAGATTCAGACTTTAGTTCATTATACTAAATGGAAAGATGACTAAGATGACATCACCTTTCTAATTATCATTATGATAAGCTTTGCATTGAAATATAATGTACACCCAGAAAATATAGAATGCATAATTGTATAGCTGAATGAATTTTCATGAATTAAACATATTCATTTAACTGCCACTCAGATCAAGAAATAGAACATTACCAACACCCCAGAAGCCTTTCTTCTGCTCCCTGCCAGTAACTGACCTCCCTCACCGTAGGTAACAGTTTTGCCAGTTTTTGAACTTCATATAAATAGAATCCTATAGTATGTATTCATTTGAGACTGGATTGTTTTGTTCATCATTATGCTTGTGAGATCCATCCATGCTGTTGCATGTAATAGTTCATTAATTTTCACTCATACATCATATTTCATTGTGTGAATATGCCACAATTTATCCATTCACCTTTAGTAGACATTTAAGGTTGTTACAATTTATCCATTCACCTTTAGTAGACATTTAGGTTGTTTCCAGATATTGCAGAAACTGAACCTTTTTACACTCATGTTTGTACATTTTTATTAAATATATACCTAGGAGTAGATTTGCTAGGTTAAAGGACATATATCTGTTCATATCCTATATATACCTTTTAACTATAATATTTGCTGCCAAAGTTGCTTCTATCAATTCATGCCCAAGCCAGCAATGTAATAATAGGTCTATTTGCTTCAGTTTCTTAACCATCACTTAGACCTTCATAGACTAGTTTAGGGTCAATATTTTAAATATTAGCCATTCTGATAGATAACAGTGATTATGATTCAGTATCTATGATAGTTACTGAGGTTGAGAGCCTTTTAGTTGTTTATTTGCCATAAGAGGTAGCTTCATTTTTGAAGTATCTGTCTAAATCTTTTGCTTAGTTTTTAATTGGATTTTTTGTCTGTCTTTAATTGCAAATATCATCTACCCCATGAATTGCTTTTTCACTCTCTTTTAATAACCAGAGTTTTAGTATATGTGTTTTTTCAGTCTTTTCCTTTTGTGTTTGATGGTATTTGTGTTTCATTTAAAATATCTTTGCCTACCCTGATATTATAAACATATTCTCCTTTGTGTTCTTCCAGAAGCTTTATGAACATAAGCTTCATTCAAGAAAATTTATAATCTACCTTTTTCCTTGTATAATTTAAAGCACTTGAGATGAATCATTAGCTATAAAGTCCTTTTTTAGAAAAAGATATCTTGGAAAAATTCAAATATTCTATAATTGCCTTGTAAGGCCATTCACCAAAGAAGCGCTGTGTATTTGATTTTGAAGTCTCTGGAGAGCATGTATTTTGTCCTTTTCAGTTGAAAACGGGCCTCTGAATACAGTTCTCAAAATTTTAGCTTCAATTCTTAAAATTTCTGCATTTTCCTCAAATATTTATTGCTTTTGGTTTTGGATCTCCATGTGATAGAAGTAAAAATATGTATAGTTATCAACTATTCAAAATACATTATTTGGAATCATAGGCTTTGGGAAGAATGCTTAGAAGAAAATATGTACTTTCTATACTTACATGGTCAACTATACATATTACATGTATTGATATGTTTATTAATTCTCCTACATATATAGTGACTCTAGAATTAAATTAGCTCTCAAATCCTTCCAGAGGAATGGTTTTCATTATTTTATGGTAACATGAGTGTATGTGTCTGTTCCTTTCTCTCTCTTTTTTTTAGATAATCCACACTGTTCTTTAAAAAAAAGTGCCATGAAATAATAATCCAGATTTCCTCTTGTTATATTTTCTGGTGCCTCATCTGGTACTTAAACCATCAGTTATAGAATAAGTTGTAGGCATGAAAATTTTCCATTTCTTCCTCTGATTGGTTTTCTTGCCTTGGGTTTTTAGGTATCAGGAGGGCTATGGATTTGCTCAAGCTCACTACAAAAGTCGATGCAATAATAGGAATCTTTTATTCCATCATGTAGCCCTGGCCCAGACCTATGGCTGCTTTCATATATGGTTGGGAAATACCTTGAGTTTGTGCAACTCTGTGATCTCCTGAGTTTAACTCATTTGCATAATGAAAGTAGTAAGAAATATAACACTGATGTTACAGTTTTTATTATATACCATACCAAATATTTTATTTCATGTAAGCATAATAATCTTACCAATTTGGTGTTATTTTAATAACTTTATTATTGTTGTCCCTACTTTTTTACAAAGAAAACTGAACCTTATCTAAATTAAGTAATTTTTCAGGACCACTTTACAAATGAATGACAGAAAACAAAACAGGCTTGTGTGAGTCTAAAACCTGTGCTCTGCACTACCATCTAGTAGTCTATCATGGAAGAAAAATCATAGATTTTGCTGAGTTGTATATTTAAGCGTGATACCTTTGTGCAGATAACACTCATTACCAGATTTTTCTCTTCTAAATACACTTGGTGACATTAGACCAAGAACACACAATACATTAACATTGTCTTATAATAAATAGTAGTAAGGTCCAGATCTGTGGAGGTGAATGAAGTATATCATTATCAGTCAAAAAGTTCACAGCAAATGATGAAACTGAATTCACAGAACCATTTGATTCTAAAAAGGGGTCTGCCTTATCTCCTAGAGTGAATAGCAGGGCATGCTCCCCAGTATGACCAGAGCCGTTTGGCTTATCCTGTCAGTACCTGCCATTTGTTGATTGTTACCAATGTCTTTCTATTGCTTTTCTAGGATTATATCTGAAAAAGTAAAGGAAGTTCTCTTTGTCCGGCCCCGGAAATATATCCGTTGCTCCAGCCCAGAGTCTGCAGAGCCTGGCTATATCAATACCCTAGAGCTGGCAGCATCTACATGCCGCTATGACCTAGATGACATGGACACCTTCTGGCTTCAGGAACTCAATGAAGACCTTGGAGAAATGGGTAAGTTGTTTTCTTACAAGTAAGTTGTACATTAACTTCACCAATGATTTTTTTTTAAGTTTTAGAACCCTGTAAAACTTACTTTAATCTTGCTTTCCTTTCTTACGCACCCTTTCACTTTATTTTTGAAGAAATGAGTTATTTATTCAAGTGCATAAAATATAGCAGTATTTTATCAATATTAATTTTAATCTATATTAAAATAGATTAATAAAATTTAAATGACCTTCATTTTTCAGTATAATAGCACAGATACAGATGGCACATAAGTTTCATGAAGTTGTTTCATAATGCTAAATGTTAGTGTAGGTTGATTGAACTTCTGGTTTGAAAGGATACTGAGACCTATTCTTGGATCAGTCTTGAAATCACTCTTATTAATGGGCAAGGCCATAGGTAGAGGTGTGTGTTCCAGGTGTTAGAGAAAAGGTCTATCTACAGCATTTAACAGTACCCACTGTCCCACTACAAGTGACAGGTTACTTTTTATAGGCTTCTAATTTTGTTGCCCAAAATGGTAGGCCTATGGAAAAATATCTCCAAAGTAGTTCTTAGCTACCTTCGATGAGTTCTCTATGTTAAAGCTTGTATATGAATACATGTAAAATAAAAAGTTAAAATTATATTTAAATCCTCTTTGGCATGGTGATGGAAGTTATTCTGCTAACAACTAAATCTTAATTTTTGCTCTTAAAATTTTAGTATGTTTTGTTTTCTATTAATTTGTCCTCTAAGAGGAATTGGGAGTAGCCAATTTAGAGTGTAAATCACAGAGAATGGAATAGTTTGATTTGCAGAAAAAATGGACATTCAGTACAGAGAATACAAATGTATACCTAAAATATATTTTGTGTCCCTAATATTAACATATTTCTTTGCCATGATGCATTTGTCAGGATGAAGAAACCAGCACAGGTACCATCACCATTAACTGATGTTCCAGACTTTTTTGGACTTTCGATTTTTTTCTGTGCTAATCTTGTCTAGGATCCCATCTAGGACAACACATTTCATTTAGTCTCAGAAGAAGTGTTTTATATATGTAGGGGTGAGGCCTCATAGCTTTTTTCCCTGTCTACTTTAGCATGTCTGTTTGTGTCGTCCTTGTTCAGCTCATGTTTAGGTAGTCATGTTGGTGAGATTTTATGTGTATAGCTTCTCACATCACTAGGAGATACAATCTCACAGCAAACTCCCTGGTCTTCTTGCTTTTACAATCGTTCTGCTCCCTCATCTGCAATGTTCCTTGAGCATTAGTGGACATATTTTGTAGATATATCAATTGAGACTGCTCCACAACTCACATTTTGATTGATTGTGGTTTTCTGTGGTGGTTTCAATCTGTTTCAAAGACAAGTTTCCTTGATGAAGGGTGAAGACTACACTTACCTGTGGACATAAGGACAAGTGTTTAGAATGTAATTAGGGATTGTACTGGTTTATTAAAGTAGAGGTTGTAGGTTCTCTTTCAATATCCATGACTTTGCTTGCACTGAGTAATTAGCTAGGTTTCCAGTACAGTTTTCCTCTTGTTAAGTGGGTTGTTTTAGTTTTTCGAGACAGGGTTTCTCTGTGTAGCTTTGCGCCTTTCCTGGAACTCACACTGTAGACCAGGCTGGCCTTGAACTCACAAAGATCCGCCTGCTTCTGCCTCCCGAGTGCTGGGATTAAAGGCATACGCCACCACCACCCGGCTGTTAAGTGGGTTTTAAGTTCAATTAGAAAGCTATTGCTTATTGCCAAGATATGCATACCACTATTGCATCCTTGGGGTTATTGTGCTATGCTCAACCCTACACAAAGAACTACAGGCAATTCAGCAATGCTGAGAGCCAGAGAAATAGAGAAGAGCATAGTGATTGGCTACCCAGTGCCAAATGGTTAACCCTAAAAACATACATACATGTAACATTATACAGATTGAACAGGTTATATTTAGGAACATATATGTATCTACACATATTCATGGAACAACAATTAATGAAAAAAGAATCCATGGATTTGAAGGAAAATCAGGAAGGTATATCAAAAGGTTTGGAGGGAGAAATGTCAAAAGTTGATTCTCTGCTTCCACCATGAGGGTACCAGGGATTAAAATCAAGTCATCAGACTTAGCAGCAAGTGCCTTTATCCACTGAGCCATTTACTAGCCCCATGACTATGATTTAGTAAAATTGTAAGCGTCTGTAATTTTTTAAGAAAATGGGCTAAAATGTATTTCTTCATTAATGTATTAAATGCCAATTTTATTATAATTGGTGTGTTAGAATTTCCCTAGTTAAAAAAAAATTCCTTGAAATCTGGTTGCTTTAGATCAGAAAAAAGATGTCTTTATCCTTTAGCACCCTACCTACCCCCCTGCAGTGGATGATTTGGGAATGACAACTGACAGATGTGTTGGCTGATTGTTTTTATTTTTGTGCAGGTTATGGGCCAATTGATGAGACTCTTATGGAAAAGACAATAGAAGTTCTGGAACGCCACTGCCATGAAAATATGAACCATGCTATTGAGACAGAAGAAGGGCTAGGAATAGAATATGATGAAGATGTGATCTGTGATGTGTGCCGGTCTCCAGACAGTGAAGAAGGGAATGATATGGTATTCTGTGATAAGTGTAACGTCTGTGTGCATCAGGTTAGTGAAAATGGAGACCACCCCTCATACAAGGTCAACGTTAGTGTCAAAGTCAAGAGACAACTTTTAGGAGTTGGTTCTTCTATGTTGGGATTCAGGGGATTAAAGTAAGATCATCAGGCTTGGTCCAAGTGCCCTTCCTGATGAACCATCTCATTGGTCCAATGGTCAACATTTTTGAAGCTCAGTGATTACTATTTCTAACACTCATATCTGGAAAATGTCTTATATTTAAAGGTGAAAATAAAATTAGGCTCTGCTGTTCTTCAGTACTTCTCTAGAAACATTATTTCTTATGATCCCTAAGCTGCTTTACCTACTAATATTCCCCCAAGAGGCTAAACCGAGGTCTTTATTATGTCATTTCATGTCTAGAGCATTGAGATTTTTCTCATTTGATTCACTCAGGAAGTCCCTATGCTTCTTGCCTAGGTGACTCTCCTCTACATTGGAGATATTCCTATGCCTTAGAATCTTTAGGACATCATAACTGACCCATTATCAGTAGCATATATATAGAGAAGCTAGATTTCTTATTTTAGTACCTGAGGCCCTCCCTATTCCCAGAAACTAGGTCAACCATACTTTTAGAGACCACAGTATTCATGGACTCTAAAGGACTGTCTTAACACCTTAGTATTACAAACAATATAAGGAAAGGTTAAGTGACTTTACCCAAGTTATTTGACATTCATTCTGTCACACTGTCATATTAATAATGCTAACATTAATGGTATCAGCACTCATTTCAACTCTTGCCCATATCCTATGCTCTGTTCTGTGGTAAAACAGGGTCACTTAAGGTACAGTGAGTAATATTGCTAACACTATCCTATCTCCATTCTACAGCCATGTCTGAATTTAAAAATCTCTTCTGAGAGCTAGGGATGGTTCAGTTGGTGAAGTACTTGCTGCCAAAGCATGAGAACCTGAGTTCCCAAAATATGTGTACAGGGGCACACATGGAGAGTCAGAGATAGGATTCCTGGTAATTGCTGGCCAGCCAGTCTACCTGAATCAAGCTCCAAGTCCTTTGAGAAACCCTGGTTCAATAAACAAGGTAGAGGCCAATTGAGAAAAACATTCGGCAGTGACCTCTGACCTCTACACACACATACAAGTACCTATGTACACATGAGCATACCTACACACAGTTTTGTCTCCTACCTTAAGTTATCAAAGTGTACATATCTTCCAAGCTGTAGTTCAATTCTCGACTTCTCCCTCCTAACTGAATTTTTTCCCCTTCTGAACATGTGTATTATTCACATATTATTAGCTTATTTAACAAACATTGTAAATGCACTAAGCACCATCAATGAGCCAGGACTTTGCTGCATTATGGTGACATAGTGATGAAGAATCAGATAGGCTTTCTTCCCCTACCCCCAGGAAAACCATAGTATAACAACTAAAAAGAAACTACCAATTTACCAGAGTGCCAGGTGATATTTTAGATTATAAATCCATGTGGAAATGCGTGAAAGAGATAAAGGTAAGAAACAACTTCCAATAAGTGGCACCCATGCTGAATCTTACTGAGTAAAAACAGATGTCAGTTAAACCAGAGAGGTCTGTTCAATCAGAAGAGAATATATGTAAGTGGCAAGTAGTCAAAGTGGGCAAAATATTTTGGAACCATCTATGAGTACTTTAAGAATAGAGGAGTGGAGTAGGAAAATCCAGGAGCTGGGGGTATGGAAGGAAAAAAGGCACACATGTGAAGGATCTTCTGACAAACTAATAAACTTCTGATTTATTCCATCAACCCTAAAAGGATATTTTTATTCTAGAAAGATCATTTTGCTCGAAACTACTAGAACGATGAGCCTACATAACATAGGAGATAGGGCAGGTGGTGGTGGCACACGCCTTTAATCCCAGCACTCGGGAGGCAGAGGCAGGAGGATCTCTGAGTTCGAGGCCAGCCTGGTCTACAGAGTGAGATCCAGGATAGGCACCAAACTACACAGAGAAACCCTGTTTCAAAAAACAAACAACAACAAAAAAAAACATAGGAGATAGAAAATAACCAGGACTTAAAACTTCTCTGAGTCGCCTAACCATAGCCTTCTGTATCATAGGAGGAACCCAGACGTTTTTGTCACCACTTACCTTAATCACTGTTCTATTGTTGTAAAGAGACACCATGACCAAGGCAACTCTTATGAAAGAAAGCATTTAATTGTTCACAGTTTCAGAGGTTTAGTCTGTTATTATCATGGGAGGGAACATGGTGGTAGGCAGGCACTGGAGCAGTAGCTGAGAGCTACATCCTGATCCATAGGCAGAGAGAGTGACTCTGGGCTTGGCATGGAATTTTGAAACCTCAAATCCCACCCTAATGACACACTTCTCTAACAAGGCCACACCTCCTAATACTATCCTTTCAAATAGTGCCACTCTTGAGTGACTAAATATTCAAATATGCCAACCTATGGGGGCCACTATTATTCAGACCACCATACCACTTTAACCTTCATTTACTTCTATCTTTAAAATAATGAATTTAGGGCCGGGCGGTGGTGGCGCACGCCTTTAATCCCAGCACTCGGGAGGCAGAGGCAGGTGGATCTCTGTGAGTTCGAGGCCAGCCTGGTCTACCAAGTGAGTTCCAGGAAAGGCGCAAAGCTACACAGAGAAACCCTGTCTCGAAAAACCAAAAAAAAAAAAAAATAATAATAATAATAATAATAATAATGAATTTAGAAATTTTATTTTCATTGTGCCAATTATTGGCATTTGTATTATATTTTCAATAGAGGCAAAATCTTTATGGCTTAGCTATGAACTTAAAGTATCTGATAGTACAGATGCATAGATCCTCTCATACAGTTAATTTCAAAATTAGAAATCTCTGAAGATTTCACTTGTAGCTGAAATTCTGAACCAGAACTGATTTGTGGACAATACCAGAACTTCGCTAATATGAGGCTGTTTATAGTCTTTACCTATTTTATGCAAATACATTTTTAGAGAAATACTAACATATTATATGGTATTGTTCCTGGTACCACTGGGCTTATATATACCATATGTATAACTTTCCTAAGATCTGAACAGTTCTGAACTTCATAATGTTTCTTATCAAAGAGGTTTGAGATAATTATTGATCTATAGTAGGCTTGAAAGGAATAAGGCAGAGGTCATCTGTATTTGTTTTCTGTGTTTGTCTTTTACAATTAGGGCAAAATATTAAAGAATTATTCTCAGGTTCTTTTACTAACAAAATTAGCTGTAACATAATAATTTCCCCCAAGAATATGGCATTTGTTTTAGAAACACACCAAGTCACTATAAATGATAATCTTCTCACACTTTGGCAATAACAGCTTACTGGACCTTGCAGACTACAATCTGATATATGTGGATTCTGGGAATATATGAAATTTCATAAAAAGAGCTTCTTCCAATCTGGGCATGGCAGTACACTTGAGGCAAGAAATTCGTGAGTTTGGTGGGCTACATAGCAAGTTCCAGGCCAATCAGAGAGGGGTGTGTGTGTGTGTGTGTGTGTGTGTGTGTGTGTGTGTGTGTGTGTATGTTACATATATATATAACATCTGAAAAAATCAGGAATCATATGGATAAAATACTGAGATTCTTATAAAGTGGGTGTAATTACTTGGATCATAAATAACTACTTAGGTTAGAGCTCCCTCTGTTGACTATAAAGTAACTTAAATAATAATTTAGAATATTGGTTTGCTCTCTAAAAGAATAGTGACATATTGGCATCTGGATTTGTTAAACATAATTTACCTTCTTTGTTCCACCACATTGTGTTCAGTGTTTGTTCTTCACTGACAACAATACATTATTTTAGAAGTTTGTATCAATAGACTTTAGATTTTAACATCATTCAACTTAATTTTTTCTTAAAAATATGTGAAAGTTAATTAAAACCATTCCAGGTCCTTTTGTGTGTATCCATTTCTGCTTCTTAGTATAAATATTGAATACTTAGATTGAGATTGGATTAAATTTAGCTAATAGCACATACTATAGGGTTTTGTTTTGTTTTGTTTTTTCTTTGTGATAAAGGCTTTATTTAAAACTTTTTTAATTTAATTTTATAATTTGATTTAATTTTACATATCAGCCACGGATTCCTGTCCTCCCTCCTCCCACCCCCACCTCCCGCCCTCCCCCCCCAGCCCACCCCCCATTCCCATCTCCTCCAGGGCAAGGACTCCCCTGGGGATTCAGCTCAACCTGGTAGATTCAGTCCAGGCAGGTCCAGTCCCCTCCTCCCAGGCTGAGCAAAATGTCTCAGCATAGGCCCCAGGTTCCAAACAGCCAGCTCATGCACTAAGGACAGGTCCCGGTCCCACTGCCTGGGGGCCTCCTACATAGTTCAAGCTAATCAACTGTCTCACTTATCCAGAGGGCCTGATCCAGTTGGGGCTCCTCAGCTATTGGTTCATAGTTCATGTGTTTCCACTAGTTTGGCTATTTGTCCCTGTGCTTTTTCCAATCTTGGTCTCAACAATTCTTGCTCATACAATCCCTCCTCTTTCTCACTGATTGGATTCCTGGAGCTCCACCTGGGGCCTGGCCGTGGATCTCTGCATCCACTTCCATCAGTCATTGGATGTTGTTTTGTTTTTTAATTAAGAAATTTTTTTCATTCATTTTACACACCAATCAAAGATCCCCTCTTTTCTCCTCCTGCCCCCCAGCCTCCCCCTCCCAACCCACCCCCACTCTCCCCAACAAGAAGGCAAGGCCTCCCATGGGGAGGCACATCTAGTAGAGGCAAGTCCAAGCCCTTCCTCTGCCTCAAGGCTGCATGCAGGGAGCTGCAAATCAAAACGACTCTGAGATACCATCTTACACCTGTCAGAATGGCTACGATCAAAAGCACTACAGACAGCTTATGTTGGAGAGGATGTGGAGCAAGGGGAACACTCCTCCAATGTTGGTGGGAATGCAAACTTGTACAGCCACTTTGGAAATCAGTGTGGTGGTTTCTCAGGAAGTTCGGCCTCGGTGTAAGAAGCAAGTACCAGGGACCAGTGAATGAGTAATAAAAGCCAGAAATTTGGCTGGGCGCTGGTGGCGCACGCCTTTAATCCCAGCACTTGGGAGGCCGAGGCAGGCGGATCTCTGTGAGTTCGAGGCCAGCCTGGGCTACAGAGTGAGTTCTGGGAAAGGCGCAAAGCTACACAGAGAAACCCTGTCTCAAAAAAAAAAAAAAAAAAAAAAAAAAAAGCCAGAAATTTGGTCTGAAAGATGGAAAATAATCAGTCTTCCTCAAGACCCAGCTATACCACTCTTGGGCATATACCCAAGGAATGCTCAATCATACTGTAGTTTTTATAGCTGTCATGAATATAGTTGACACTGAGTTTGACATTCTGAAATTATCCTTAAAACATATTAGCAAACATATGCTAGTTTCTCAACAGAATTTACAACTGTCATTTGTGATCCATAAAAAAGTTGAGAATCACTATGATATATAAGCTTTTATGATCTTATGATGATTATATCTATAAAGGAGCTCACTCTGTAAATTATTTTGTGTTCCATAGAATGACCAAGAGCATTCTTAGAACCAATCACTAACTTCAAACAGGCTGCAATTTGGGGAGGAATTTTTTTGTCATTCCCTGGCAACATTCTAGGTCTCAGAGAAAAGGGGTTTCAAAGATAGGAACCTTATTAAATGATGCCCTGCTCACATGAGAGCAGCCTCATTGAAGTCTAGCCTAGTTGGAAGTCCAGCTTGGATTCTTGAGCCAAATTATTAATAATTTGTTCCCACAACACACCTACCTATTCAAACTAAGTAGGGAGAGGGGCATTTGTTATAAATCAGTGATGAAAGCTATGCCTAGTTACCTTCCATTCTCACTGAGGTTATGAAGCACAAGAACAAAACTAGTAGACTAAAATACAGATGCTGTTTAGTTGATGAGGGAAATCACATGAAGTAGAGGATGAGAGTCTGGCAGTAGGGCAGATACAAGACACATGGACATGAGAACTAGAGTGAACAGTTATGGAGATAACTGAGAGGCCTGCTTATACAAATTAGATACCATGTGTTTAACTATGATAGGAGGCAAGAAAAAATAGTAAGGTGTGAGTAGGTACAAAATTCAGATTAGAGGCCAGCAAACCTTTTCTGTAAAGGGTCAGAAATACTTTAGACTTTGCCAGCTGTATATGGTCCTTTTCTGTGTTTTTTCTTTTTCCTCTTACAACTCTTTAAAAATGTGAAAAACATTCTCAGTGTGTTAGCCACATAAAACAGGTCTTAAGTAGTAGCCAACACCTAGTTTAGATGATGGTGGACAAATGAGATAAGAACAGGAAAAATCCCTGGAGAATTTACTGCTGTTCTTGATTTTACTGAAAAGAATTTGATGACTAAATAGAGTAAGGGTTAAAGCTATAAAGAATGGATAAACAAATTTAGAAATAAATTTATCCTAGAATAGTATGACAATGAGTTGGATGGAGCAGTAGTGGTGAGGATAGGGATGGAAAGGAAGTTCAGCCTCGGTGTAAGAAGCAAGTACCAGGGACCAGTGAATGAGTAATAAAAGCCAGAAATTTGGTCTGAAAGATGGAAAAGGAAGCATGGTATAAAGTGGAAAAGAGATTAGAAATGGATGATGAATCTCACCTAAGGGTGAATATCTTGGAACCCAATTTTGGAACTGCTAGGGTGAATCAATTGATGGTATAGGGTATATTTAGCCATGTGAGGAACCTAGAGGCACCTAGTTTGCCTCTGAAATAGATTAGAGCAATAAAGAGGGTGAAATGGACAATTGAAGGTGGGGGGTGGTATCTAGAATAATTTCTAAGTAATCGTCCTTCTCCCTGAGTTATTCATTTATTTTCTAATATCATTCCATAAAGAATTAAAAAGGCTCCCAGAATTCATTATGGATTATTGTGATTCAATTCACAAGTCTCCTTTTGGTCCAACCCAAGCAAATAATTTCTACAGTATGCTGAAATTTTTTTATGCACCAGGTACTATTAGACTCTTTACAAACATTAGCTTATTTGTATCTCATATGTTTCATTATTTTCCAACACCTTTTTTCTTCATCACAATAGTACATTACATGTTGAAGTTACTCTTTTATTGCTTTCCTGATCTGTTATAATATATAAAATTGAAGACAGTTTAGAAAACAGGGAAAAGAACCTATTTTCAAAAAAAAAAATTTAAAAAGAAAGAAAAATGCCTATAACCCAACTCTCAACTAATAATTGGCTAACTTTGTGGTGAATCTCCACCTTGTCTTTTTCTATTTCCCTTTAAAGTTAGTTCTTATAGATAGACATGCTAATCCTAGTTCAGATGCTTGGTTTTTTAGGGTGTTTAAAAATTGCTAAATCCAGAATAAGAATTTGTTCAACTATATTTGTCTTTCTCCTAGAAACAGAGAGTATTCTCTTAAATGTGTCAAAGCAGATGTTGGTGCTAATACAAAGACACTGACCATTCTTCCCTCTCTTCCTCATGCCTACAGGCTTGTTATGGCATCCTTAAAATTCCAGAAGGCAGCTGGCTATGTCGTTCCTGTGTCCTGGGCATTTATCCACAGTGTGTTTTATGTCCTAAGAAAGGTGGAGCCATGAAGACCACCAGGACAGGGACTAAATGGGCTCATGTCAGCTGTGCCCTGTGGATTCCAGAGGTAAGAAACCATCCAAATCTGGGCCCATTTACTCCAGGATGCCCTCCTTCCCATGATGTTTAGACAGACTCAGACTTGTCATGGAAATTCTTCCTGCTCACCTCTATTTCTGAGATTTCTGTGCTACATCAGGTCTTCTTGGACACAAATGTGCATGTTAGCACATACTTATTTATTTGTGGGTGATACTTTTAGTGATATTTGATAAATTTGTGTGAGAGAAGAAGGTGATGAGATAGCATAGCTGTTAGGAGCACATACTGCTTTTGTAGAGGATCTGAGTATAGTTCCAGTAGCATGTCAGGCAATTCACAACTGACTGCCTTTAATTCCGCCTCCCAGGGAATTGATAGCCTCTGGCCTCCAGAGGCACCTGTACACATATACACATATTCATACACATATATACATAATTTTAAAAACAATTTTAAAACTATTTATAAAATGAATAAAACTACTTTTTTTAAAAAAGACAAAGGTGTGAGAAACACTTTTTTAAAATAAACCTTACCTTAAAATACCTGTAGCCACAAATCAGACTAAGATATGAAATGCCACAGAAATATACAAATAGCATCCCGGAAGGCCACCTCATAGCCCCTCCTTTCCCTATTTCCTGAGAGCAACAACCATTTTGATCTTTATCAGTATAGATAAGTTTTGTATGTTTTTGAGCTTCACGTAAATGGAATTCATAGAGTAAGTATTCTTTTGTGTCTGGCTAGCACTCCATGTTGTAGTATATATCAGTAGTTCATCAATTTACATTGCTTAGTAGTTTACCATTATATGTATATACTATTTATCCATTCTACTTTGGGTCTCTGATTTTAGGCTGTTAAAAATAAAGCGAGCCTACTGTGGTGGTTGTTCTTTACTTTTTGTTTTTTACCTTTTTAAAGACAGGGTCTAACTGTTTGACTGACTAGCTGCCTTGGAACTCACAAAGATCCACCTGCCTCTGCCTTCCAAATTCTGGGATTAAAGGCCACCATACCTAGTTCTCTTTTACTTATAAAGCTCTTTTGGGGCCTTAAACTCAACAGTTATCTAAGACTTTATTCAAAATTCTATTCCTTGTTATCTACCCCGATCCTGTAGTTGCAGGTATTTCCTGAGGTGCTATTATTAATTAACTTAATTAAAACATGGCTCCTAAACTAAGCATGGTAGTACATTCCTATAATCCCTATACTTGGGAGACTAAGGCAGGAGGGTTAAGATCTAGAAGCCAGCTTTGAACTGTGTAGTGAGCTCAAAGCCAGGCTACATACTACCTAGATCCTGTAAACAAAAAATAACTCAAGGGTTTGGGCTAGGGTGTAGTTAGTGGTAGAATATTTGCCTAGCATGAACAAGGCAATTCTCCAGTACCAAAAAAATTAAAATTAAAAAAGGTTGAAGCCAGGCCTGGTACATATGCCTGTAAACCCACATCTTTGGATGGAAAGGCAGAATAATCAAAAGTTCAAACCCTGGGCTGCATAGTAAGCTCAAGACTAGCCTAAGCTAGAGTGAGACCTTGTCTCAGACCAAAAAACAAGAGGTAGGGAATGTAGCTCAGAGGTACAGCACTTGCTTTGCATGTGCAAAGGCCTGGGCTTGATCCCTAGTATCACACACATAAAAATAAAATAAATCACCTATAATCCCAACACTCAGAAGGCTGGAATAAGATCATGAGTTAAAGGCTATCCTGAGCTACATAGATGCTATCTCAAAAATAAAATAATATAAACTTTCACAAATATTAACCTTCTCTTAGGGCTTCTAATTCTTGATTTCCAGTATATTTTGGATTATTAAAGATCTCTCTTTCCTGATCTGAACAGAACTTGTACTAGATGAACCATCTTAGTTTGATAGTTACTCACTTAAAACCTGTTTCTTTCCGGTGCTGGAGAGATGGTCCAGGGGTTAAGAGCACTGGCTACTCTTCCAGAAGACCTAGGTTCAAATCCCAGCATCTGTATGGTGGCTCACAACCATTTGTAACTCCAGTCCCAGAGAATCCAATACCTTCTTCTGGCCTTTGTTGGCACTGCATGCATGTGATGCACAGATATACACATAGGCAAAACACTCATGCACACAAAACAAAATGAAAAATAATAATTTTAAAAGTTTATTTCTTGGGTCTGGAGAAAGGGCTCAGCAGTTAAGAACACTGGCTGCTCCTCTAGAGGACCCGGGTTTAGTTCCCAGCACCCATATGGCAGCTTACAACTGTCTGGAACTTCAGTTCCAGGGGATCCATGGCACCAGGCATGCATGTGATGCACATATACATGCAGGCAAAATACTCATACAAATTAAATAAATAAATCTTTGTTAAAGTTTATTTCTTAAAAAGTCATGTATATAGTTGTAAAAGAGAAACCAAGAACACATTTTTACCAGTAGTTACATGACCCTTTGTTTCCATATGGAAAATATTGTTTCATCTTTTTTTAAAGTATCCCTTTCCTTTCAGCATCCCCAAAGACTTAATTTCACTTTGAAGCTACTTTGACTGAGAGAGTAGGGTAAGCTGGTAATAGTTACATAGTTTTAAAAATTGGAGTTTAGAAGTGGTATCATCCTCATTCTTTCTAATTACATGCTGCAGTCTCTTCATTACATAAATTTGCTGCTACTTTCCAACAATATTATCCTGCTTTGTGAACCAAATATAAAGATCTGTCACTGCCTATCTTTATTTTTAGTTGATTAAATGAAATAGCAAGGCATGTGGTACCATCTCTAACATAAGACAGATACTAGAATTTCTGAACTTTATTTCCTTTCCCTAGTAGCTTTGTTTGGTTCCTAAGTAAAGATAGATATATCTTGATTCTTTAAGGTAACCATGCCTACCTAGTCTATATTCCTGCACTCTCATCACGTACATGAATTGTTTACATTACTAGAAATGACTGAAGGACTGAGCAATGGAAACGTGTTTTGTTTATTCTTAGTTCCATACTAATCTTGGAAGATATGGCTTACTTTATTGTTTTAATGTTCTCAGCTTCATATAACATATATAAAACATATAACAGTTTGTGAAAAGTGCTTCTGAGATGCCCTGGTGCTTCTGCCTTATGATGATGTTGTATTTGTAGGTCAGCATTGCTTGTCCTGAGAGAATGGAACCTATCACAAAAATCTCCCATATTCCACCCAGCCGGTGGGCCTTAGTTTGCAGCCTGTGCAAGTTGAAGACAGGAGCTTGTATTCAGGTAAGTGCCCTGAGAAGTAGTGGAATGAGCTAAAATCAAGTTGACCTGACTAATGGTCCCAGTAAGAGTGTCCTGTTAACCCAAAATCTCCCCTCTCATGTGCAGGATGCTGCCCTTCCAGAAACAGTTTGTGGAAATCTTTTTCAGATGTTACTTCTGAGTAACAGCCTGTTTCTTTTTCAAAGATTTATTTTTATTTGTGTGTATGTGTGGGGGTACCATATGTGTGTGGGTGCCCCCAGAGGCCAGAAAAGGGTGTTTGATCTCCTGGAGCTGGATTTACAGGTTGTTGTGAAACACCCAGCATGGGTGCTGGGCATTAAACTTGGATCCTCTGAAAGAGCAATAAATGTTCTTAACCACTAAGCCATCTCTCTGACCCTTGACCTATTCTTTTTAACATTCAGATTGGTTGCCAGGCATAGTGATATACACCTTAGGCCCAGCTATTCAGGAAATTGAGGCAGAAGAATCATTTCAGCTCAGGAGTTCAAGGCCAGCCTGAACAACATAGTGAGACCCTTTTTCAAAATAATACTCATAATGGTATTAAACCTTTATCTTTTAATGTCAGCACTCATGAGTTAACTGACTCTGAAGCTGAGTGATTTCATTCTGAGTGGGAATAAGCTATAACTAAACTATATAGCCCGTGTTCTGATGAGTCTTATCCATTAATTGTCAATGAATTTAAGATCCAGGATGATTACATAGATGGCTCTGTGAACATTTGGGTGTGGAAAGGTATATTTGAATAGATAAAGTCTGTCGACTAGTTTTGAAAGTCATTCTCATAGGCATCTATGTTGCATGTGGTAGTACAGGTAATGTGTTCTGAGATATCTGAGTTACAATATCACTTCACTTTCTGTTCCAAACATAATAAGGTGGCACTGCTTGTAAGGACTTGTAAGGAAGGAAGGGCTGACCTTCTATTCCATAGACTTACTGTGTGTAAGCTGCAGATGGGTTGAAATTTCATTTTCCTGCAGACCTTCAGAGAAAGGAGTCTCTGTAATGTCATAACTTAGGGCAGTGGCTCTAGGTGTTTCATTTAGTCCAGTGCTGCTTAACAGGTTTCAGACTTGTCATCTAACACATATGAGCACTTATCTTTTTAAAAATTTCTTTCAGCTGATTTTATTTATCTTAGCTATAACATTTTAGTATTTATAATGGAAAAATGTCCCCCTGATATATACTGACTGTGCTGGCTAGTGTTATGTTAATTTGACACAAGCTAGAGTCATGCAGTTGAGAAAATGCCCCTAAATAGATTGGCTTGTAGACAAGCCTGTGGTGCATTTTCTTGATTGACGACTAATGTGGGAGGTTCCAGCCCACTGTGGGGTGGGGGTGCCAGTCCCAGGCTAGTGGTCCTGGGTGCTATAAGATAGCAGTTTGAACAAGCCACGAGGAGCAAGACAGTGGACAGCACTCTTCCAGGGCCTCTGCATCAGTTTCTCCCTTGGATTTCTATCCTGATTTCCCTGGATGATGCAAGTTCTGAGATGAAATAAATCCTTTTCTCCCCAAGTTACGTTTGGTCATGGTGAGGTTTTTGATTGTTTTTTGTTTTGTTGTTGTTTTGTTTTTTCTGGAGTTTTTTTTTCCTCAAGACAGGGTCTCTCTGTGTAACATCCCTGGCTGTCCTGGAACTCACTTTGTAGACCAGGCTAGCTTCAAACTCAACAGAGATCCATATACCTCTGTCTCCCGAGTGCTGGGATTAAGTACATGGACCACCATGCCAGACTTGGTCATGACACTTTATCACAGCAATAGAAATCCTAAGCCACTAACCTAACACATTGTTTGTTTATCTAAGTTCCTTCCTATTTGCTCTCCATATATGAGCCTCTTAAAGGCCAAGATGATACACCGTTCCCTCACTAGTATTCATTTAGGGTGCATTGAATAAATACACATATGTTTCCTTGTATCAAATTAATTTATAATACATATTTTCCATTAAAACAAAATATTTTCCATGTGTATTATTTAATAATTTTACAGTGGAGATTGAATTCATATTCAATAAATTACTTATTCTCACTATGGTACCTTTATTTCCCACTAATTTGCTGTTAAAGATTATTTTTATACTGGTTAGTAATTAGTAACATAGCTAGTGAGAGAAAACATTGGCCTTAGCCTTTGCAGATCTGAGTTTGCATTGCAGCCTTAGGCTCCACACTCTGTCTTCTGTTATATTGTTTATCTATGAGTTTTATCTTCCATAATTTTGTTCTATGCTTTTTCCCACACCTTGACATGATAGACACTAGATTGATGGATGGATGATGGATGAACAGATGATTAGATGGAACATTCTAGAGGAGGTTTCTCATCTGCAGACCAATGGTTCTTATTTTCATTTCTTAAAGTTCAGATTCTTGATTTTAGAGAAATCTTCCTAAATTGAGGCTATTGTGCATTTTTAGTTTTTGTGTGGTACTAGGGATTAATCCCAGGATCTCAGGTATGCTAAGCCAATGCTCTACCACTGAACTGCATCTCTATCACAAACTTTAGTATAAGGAATTTAATTTATTCAGCAAATGTGTATGCCTAATTGTATACTAGGGTTTGGGTCTACCAATGAAATAACAAAGAACTTTGCACTGTAGAGCTTATATTTTAGTTTGTAAAAGTAGACAGTAAGCAATAGATGTTAAATGAAATGTTATAAGGTGATAGCTGCTATAGAAAAGACTGCGGAAGACAGTAAGAAGTTGGGAAATATGATGTAGGGAGCATGAGTTACAAGTTTAAGCTGAGTGATTAGGGTAAGACTAACTATGGAGGTAACATATGAACAAAGAGAAAAAGCTATGCAGATGTTTAGGATAAAAAGTGTTTCAGGCAGAGGAAACAGCCATTGAAAAGACCATGAGATAGGAGTGTGCCTGGCCTATTTGACCAACAAGAAAGAATCCAGCAAGATGAGAATGGAATGTTTGGGAAAAGAAGATCAAAGAGATTATATGGGGCTTTATTGGTTAGAGCAAGAACTGGTAAATTTGTTCTATAAATAGCAAGATAGTAAATATGTTAGGCTTTGTGGACCATGTAGTTTCTTGTCACAGCTGCTCAACACCACCTTTGCAATGCAAAGGCAGCTATAGACAATATTTAAACAAATAAGAGCCTTTTTGAACATGAAGGTTTCTGATAATCCTTTAGCAGACACTAGTCTGGGTTCAAGCTAGATGTCTAGGAAGCCCTGGATTTTGCCCAGGTTCTAGACATACTTGCTCTAATTGCCAGATTTCTCGAATTTCTCTGTTCTGTATCTTATATTGAAGTCTCTCTAGATCCTGAGGCTTGGCCTAGTCTACAAATTGAGACCATGTTTAGAAAAAAAAACATGGCTTTGAAACTGAGCATGATAGCATGCACCTATAAGTCCTAACACTTGGAATGCTGGGGCAATAGTACCACCAGTTCAGGGCCAACCTAGGCCATATATAGTTAGACCCTTTCTTAAAACACAGAATGGAAAGAAGGAAAAGATGGAGGGAATGGGAAGGGAAAGGGAAGAGAGGAGAGAAAAGGAGGAATATACTCTTTGGTGCCAGTCTCCCAGGATTTGAAACCTGGTCTTCTTGCTGCTTATGTAAGCTTATAAAAGTGACCTAACTTTAAAAAAAAAAGTTACCTAACTTTTCTGGGCTTCAGCTTCCACATCTATAAGTGGAGACAATAATACTAATTACTTAAGATGGCAGAGAGCTTAGCATAGAACCTAAAAGATTAAATATACAAGTTAGTGGGACTGCTAATAATTGCATATGTCCATATTATTATTCCCTAGAGTAAATCTGATTATTGATAGAAATCCCTAACATTCATTTGGCCAGCCAAACTGAATAGAATCATCCAACATTTGTGGCTTGGATTGATGGTAGAGTATAACATGAATCTTAACAGTTCTTATTAATAAGATCAAACCCGAGGCCAGTTATTGGGGTCAATGCTGGTAGATCAGAGAGACAGAACAAGCCACAGCAATCTCACCTTGCCAATTCCTCAGCTGGTCCTGTTTCCACAGACTGGAAGCTTCTGTGTCTTCATCCCAATAGCTCTCAGCTGAACTGCTCCTCAAAAGCCTGAAGCTTAACCAGCTAAATGCTTAACCAGCCAAATTCTTCTAGTTTCTGGTCCTCACACCTTATAAACCTTTCTGCTTTCTACCACCACTCCCTGGGATTAAAGGCTGCTTTCTTGGATTAAAGGCGTGAGTCACCATGCCTGGCTGTTTCCAATGCGGCCTTGAACTCACAGAGATCCAGAGGGATTTCTGTCTCTGGAATGCTAGGATTAAAGGCGTGTGCTAACATTTTCTAGCCTAAGTATCTTGTGGCTTTTCTGTTCTCTGACCCCAGATAAGTTTATTAAGGTACACAATATTTTGGGGAACACAATACCACCACAGTAGAGAGATATGAGCCTGTCTGAAGTCACATACAAGTATAGAGAATTTAAATTGGAAAGCTAACATGAGTTTACTCTTAAGCCCATGTGAGTTCAATTATAATGGAAATTAACTTCTAAAAGAAAATCTTCAAAAAGTGTGGAACTGGGAAATAAAGTACATTTTTTTTCAGTGACTATTAAAAGTAATATAATGAGGAAAATGAAATACTAAGATTAAAAGGAATTCTGAGGGATAACTTGATGGTTAAGTACTTGCTGCACAAGCATGAGGAACTGAATGTGAATCCCCAGCACCTATTTAAAACTAAATGTTTGGCCTCCTACATCTATAACCCTAGCACTGGGAGTGATGTGCAGAAGCAAACAGATCCTGGAATCACTTAACTGGTTAGCCAGTCAGCTGAAATAGTGAGCTCCACGTTCAGAGACAGACCTTGTCTCAAATATAAGGTGGAGAGCAATTAAGGAAGACAGCTGATGTCAACCTCTAGCCCCCACTTGTGCATATAGCAACATAAAAGGGCATTCTCCTCTACCCACCTAGGAAAGCACTTCATTTT